ATATATATATATATATATATATATGCACGTATACACATATCTCTGCAGTAGTAAATTTTCATGTTATAAATACTGTTTCCCATGCAATTTTACCTTCCCCCCCCACACATATCAATATATAAATAGGGCTCATTTTTCCCTGAATTTTGAGCCACACGTGATGATTTTGTTGCCTGTGTCACAGTAGAGCCCAAAAGCCCCAGAATCATGGCCCCATTGTTCTCAGCATGGTACAAATGCTTAAGAAGACACAGTCCCTGCCCCAAAGAGATGGGAAAAACCAAGTTTATGACAAGCGGTTCATTATTGCTTTTCAGGAGAAAATACAAGCTGCATAGGGATATTTATATCTATATGACAACATATTTATAGAATAAATAATGAAAGAGTGATCAGACGATCCTGGCCTTCTAATACTTCCAGTGGGAGAAACCAGCCCTCATATCAAATGACTTTTCCCTAAGCAAAGAAGCTGTTACAGAAAGTGTCCTAGGAGGTATGTGAACAATACAAATACACAATACATTCAAATATTCTGTTATTTAAAAATATAAAATCTTGTCTTTTCCCCACAATATGGGAAGGTATTCAAGATCAAATTCAGTAGAGATATAAGTAAGCACAACTCCATTAAAGTTAAAAGGCAGGGAGATACAGAGGCTCCTTTGCCTTTCCAGTTTGTAACAATAAGGATTAAAATAAGATTATAATATATGTGAATATGTCATTGCTTCAGCCATAAAAAAGTAAAAACATCACAGACACTTACTAGCTGAAAATTAAGATACAGCCAGCAGCTTCCAAGTGCGAAGCGCTTCCTTTAGGGCTCTAGCTGCTTGTCTCTGCCAGATTTAAAGAGCCAGGCCCAGAAAGGCATGCTGGGAAAAAATGCCTATAAAAGGTCAACACTGCAGCAGAGTTTATGAATCTTTTAGGTGTTGTGGGAGTTTTATGTACAGTGTGTTAGAAGTCTTCAGTCTAACATAGTTTGATCTTATAAATGGGTTGGATTTAATTGTGTTTCAGGTACATGACCAGTGTGCTAAAATCTTGGACTTAGTTTTGCCATGGGTACATCTAGAGGGAATAAGGCTGTAAAAGTAATTGAAGCATTTCCCTGCTGTCAATGACACAAAGCAAGGACTTAATCCTAGGTCTCCCTCATGTATGCCTTAAGTGTGCCATTGGATATTCTGAGGGAGGGTCTCTCTCATTCTCTTGGAGAAGCTGTTCTAACCACCAGGCTATACATTTGTGCTACTGAACCTTATAATATTTAATTTATTTATAGAAAGTGGAACAACTTCAACAGAGGAGATTAAGAGCACCCAACACCCAAATAGCCAATAGGGTGGTGATTAGGGTACTCCTGTAGATCAGGGGACACCTGGATTGACATGCCTGCTGCAGAATAGGTATTTAAACCTGAGTGTACGCCCCCAACAGAGTCCCCTTACCATTGTGCTATTGGATAAAAGAGGGTGGGAGTAGGAAGGAAAGCACCCTTTATTTTCTATGTTGTGAATGCCCAAAATCAAAAAGATTTTCTTTCAGTCAACAAATTTGTTGTTTTTTATTTCACCAAGAAAATATACTTTTGGGTTGCTCCTGAATGATTTTTTCCCAGTTTTTTTGTTTTTGCTAGCAAACCAAAAAATCAATTATTTGCTCCAAGTATAACTCACTGGTCACTGTTAGTGGGATCCACAAAACAACTTAGCTGTTGAAATGCTCAGAATTATGTTGCCTAACTTTTAGATACCTAGAAAAGTCATAGGAATAATACTATCATTCACCAAGCTGAGTTAGGTGGCCTATATAATGAATGGGGAGAGCTCGGCACCTAAGAATGTGATTCACAAAAGCCAGCATACTAGGCAGGGAACCACCTAAGGTAGCTAATGGTTGGCACCTCTTAGAGGGGAATGTGCTAAGCTATGCCGCTCTCTTGGAAATAGGCACTTAAATCTGGACTGTAGAGAGGCACCTAGCCCTGCTTAGCAATCCACAAATGGGAACCAGCTGCCTAAATCATGTTTTAAGGCAATGATTGAGGTACCTGCCTCACTCTACACAAAATGACCACAAGAAGAGTGGACCTTATAACCCACTAGTTAGAGCACAAACCTGTGATGTGAGAGACTGAGGTTCACTCCTTTCCATAGGGAGAGGTAGGATGCGAACTGTCATCTCCCACATAGCAGGCATGTTTTCGAACCACTGATCTATGGAATAGTTTGATGGGGGAAAGCCCCTCAATCTCGCCTGTTGAAACTGTCCCATGGTGGCTAAATAATGAAAGTGATTAGAGCAGGATGATTGGACCTGGGCTTTCCCACCTCCCAGGTACATGCCCTAATGACTGGATGGCAGAATCATTCCCCCTATTGCTCACTTGCTCTAGCTCGCTGGCCCAATGGAATAATTTCAGCAGCAGACATTGACAGAGCCCCACAGCAGACTATACAATAGATCAATGGCTAGAGAGCTTTTCTGAGATGCAGAAAAATAAAATTCAAAGCCTTTCCCTGCCCCCTGGGAAAAAAAAGAGGGGTGATGGAATCTGCATTTCCCACATCCTAGGGAGTGTGCTAGCCACTAAGCTAACAACTATAAGGTTGTTATAGTCTGCAGGTAGACTTTGAATGGGACCTGAAAAGGCAGACAGCCCTTGAGAACAGCTACTGCTGAGAGCCCTGCATATAACACCTATCTTCCTTCAGTTT